CCTGCCTTCCGGTAAATCTGAAATATTCGATCCTATTTGTTTCCAATTTCACGGTTGTTCTTGTTGTCAGCCCTATTTTATTCCTATTTTGTGTTGTCAGCACTATTTTATTCCTATTTTGAGGTCCTATTTTATTCCTATTTTTCCTAAAAATAACTAGTTTTGAACACTCCAGAGATAGCAATAGCTTTTTTTCATAAATCTAACTCTAAGAGGTGAATTTTAGAGGTACAGTCTTATATCCCACATGACGTGTGGGTTGTTTCAGCTAACAGTTCAAATTAAAAAATGGCAGAGTTTAACATTGCAAGTTCCTAGACTAAATGCCTTCCTTTCCAGTCTTGCAGACAAAGCTAATGTGGGCTCAAATGTAATGGACAAGTTTAAGTACTGGCTTGTGAACATTATTTGCCAAAATCAATACATATATATATATGTTGCACTACATTATGGACAAGTAAAGACAGCTGCCAGTTGGAGAGTCAACACATGTTGCTGATGGTGGTGAATCAGCTGATAGTTGCTGAATAAAACCATTGAGAAACAGATATGTCCCACTCCAACTCTGAAGTTTCATGATGCTCCAGACTTGCCAGATTGACATCTCAAATTTTCACATTGAGTATACTTCGAGTGATCCCAACCCTGAAAGTTAATGTGATTGGCAAGGATTGACATAATGTTCTGACACTTGTTCCGGCATCAAATCTGGTTTGTGCTCCGACACATCTATCTATCATCGTGTTCTGACATCTTTGGTGGGGCAATTTGTTTTGTGTGATGTGCCTGTTTCTCAATTATGCCAGAAGATATGTACCACACATACAAAGACCCAAATGCTATGAAAGTATTGAATACCTTGGTGATGGCTTCTTTCCGTCCTCGCAGGGAACTGAGTTAACTGAAACCCAATGTCAGAGTGTGCCACAGAGGTTGGAATCTGTTGACATAATATTTCCAAGCTGGAAAGGTCTCCCTTAATCGTTTTGTTTCTTTCTTGGGGCTGCGTTAGGCTGCAGACGCGAACACCACTCTCCAACAAGCCACGGGCATCCTTCCGTGTCTTCAATCAACAGCATGTACATGGGATGAAATTAAGACGCTGGAAAAGAAGACACCGAACAAGAATGCAAAACATAATAGAAAGCAAGTCATTAGGAAACATACGGAAAGATCAATGTCTTCAAAGTTTTTGTCCAAAGCACGAGGCAAATCACATCTTCCTTGCAGCTCTTCTTCAACGTGTTTGCTATGAGGTTGCTAGAGCTCTCTCTCTCTATCTCTCTCTGAGAAGCTTTCTAGAAGCGTCCTTGGGAATCGTTTCACCTGTAGTAACAAGAAGCTTACTAGTTACTCTCTCTGACACATGCGAAAAGCCTTTGCCGAAAAAAGTCCACAAAAACATGTGCACAATGGGCGCAAATGGGTCTGCCCTGCCATGCATCTCTAAGTGGGTTTTAGATGTCTTCAACAGCACATGGAAAAGCATGCGCGGAGCGGAGATGTCTATTCAAAGTGCCAGCCTGTTGGAATGTACAGTGACATTCTGGGCATGCGATCGCCTGAGGCGGAGACGCGAGTCGTCGACGTTCGGAGGCGGAGTAAGTTCACAGGTCCAAAGTGCTGGGACATGGACACAGACATCGAGGTCTTCCTGGGCCATGGCTGTGCTCATGAGACGATCTCGTCTCTCAGGTGACACGCGCCACTTGATCCAAAACCGGCGGCGCCAACCTTCCTTTACTCAAAGAGGTTTGGAGAGGGGGGGGCAGTCTGCATTACTGCACACCTGTTCTCACTATAAAAGACTATTAAAGAATATAAAAGAATCCGCCCACTCGGGATCCGGTGGCCGGTGTCGTAGGCTTAGCACGAGTGGGGTACGGCCACTTTCAGCTTGGCAAGCATCTTTGAAACCACTTGTGGTCCTTGAACCCCTTTGGTATATGAAGACGCCAATGTCTTCTGTAGGTCTTCTCCTTTGAAGCACCAAGTTAATCTTGGGTTCAACACTTTGCACTGAAGACAGCAATGCAACAAGTGATGCATTTTTGGCAGGTCAGGGACGAGCTGACCTTCATAGTGAACACCCAACTGTCTGTGTAGTTGGCAAAGAGCAAAGGCCAGGTTGATAAAATTGGTAGCATTGTCCCCTGCAAAGGCAATATCATACTGGCACTCTCGCATGATCCGTTCCATAGCAACATTGACTTTGAGCAATGTTCATATTATTTGTGCGCCTCCAAGCTTTCATTCATGAAAGCAGTCCACAATCTGAGCATTGGCTCACCAAGCGCTGCCACTTGAGAAGCTCTGCCTTTCAGCTTTGGTGGGCCAACTTTTCTTTTGAAAAGTGTCAATTTGCGTATCCCTCTGTACCTGTACCTCTCCACTATATTGAGGTCCTTGTACGAAGACAATATGTGCTCCCAACATACCTTCAGATTTTCGGTTGGGGCCCCTGGCAACAAATGATAGCACAACAGAAACAAGACAGCTCCGTATTGAATCATGTCCAACCCAAATATTTGCAGTGCATGCGGTCATAGCTGCAATTCAATGCAGTGAGCCCCTCGATGGCACCAGAAAATAGCTAACACTTTGGCCTTTGTTCCCAAGCTTTCCATGCATGTGAAGACCATTGAAGGGAGAGCCAGGGAGCATGCAAGGTACAATTCTTCCATGAATTGGGTCCATCATCGCCAGTGCAAGCGCAGAGCCCACAAGGCCCAGATTTGAGATTGAAGTTTGGAAGAGCCAGCCTCTGACTCATAAATTCCAAATCACCTAGCAAAGACCAAGCAATGGCTTTAAAGCCAGCTGTCAATGGTGTCAAAGCCCTCTTGCCATCCAAGGACTTCGTTCAAAACCTTGGAATATTGAAGCATCAGACAGGTTTACTTTTACACAAGCTATTAGAGGTATATACATTCACAGGTGTGACCTAACAAGTGTTCAGACATGGTGACACAAACTATACCTTCACAAGTGTGACCTAGAAAGTGCGGCGCTAGGGAGGTGGCAAAGAAAAAGTGATACCAGTTGAGCGTAGAAGCTTCTTCCCGTGGCGGTCAGCATCAGGCCAAAGACCATTCCGGAGCCATGAAAGGCTCCAGCGCAACAGCTCATGGGGTTTGTCCGCTGTGCCACCATCTGTTTCGTCGGGTATGAACCGGGTGGGCAGCAATGCCTCTTTGGTCAAAGCTGATCTGCAAGCCATGGAACAAAAGCACCAAGCGTGGTCATTTGCCTGGCACACAGCTTTCCTATGCCTACCACTGGTCTCCCGTCACCGTGGATGGCAAGAGGCACCGTCTTCCCTGGAACAAATTCAACAGAACTCACAATAGGGTGGCCTTTAAAGGCCTGGTAATGCCTTTGTAGATCTAAGAAAGATGCAGAAGGATACTTGTGATACAGGTCAGCCAAGACCATGTGAGGTAGCATTGCAGTCTGCAGCTGCTGATTCCATGGAGACTTGGAAGGCAAGAAGAAAGAATATGGATCTTGGGAATTACCCTTCTTGCTTGTGAAAGCCAGCAGCTCTGGTTGCATGTTGTTGGGGAACCTTCCACCACTGCCCAAGCCAGACAACTTCATTAGGTCACTGGGAGGTGTGGCATCCACAGATGTCATATCATGGATTGCTGCTGCTGCCAAGCTGTGTGCCAGTTGGGGTGACATCTCACCCCATGCCCACTTCTCCACTAAAGAATCTGCAAACTTGCTTGTTGAAAGAGTTTGGGCATGATATTCATCTTCTTTAGCGATTCTCTGCCTCTGGCCACCAGCCCTTCTCTTGAGAGGTGGCTCACACATGGCTCAGACTCCAAACAGCACTGGAAGCGCACACATGGAGAACACTGTGCATGCATACAAGAGAAGGCAGTGTGACATGGCCAATTGCAGGCGCAAACATGAAGAACACTGTGCGTCCACAGAAGGGAAGGGAGTGTGACATGGGCAGTTGAAATTGCCTGAATGACTTTGGCTCTAGCCACAGGTTCTGCACAACATGCTGGTTGCATATGCTTTCTTCAGCCCACAACGGCACAAAAACAAAACTTCTGAAACCAAAAGCCAGCAAAGCTGCTGAACAAAGCATTGCCCAGAAACAAGGCGGCTTTTTTCAACCAGCAGTTTAGTGCTTTGGTCTGTGGTGCTTCAACTAGATGCAGGTGACCTCTACGCAAGCAGTTGACTTTGACAAGTTGCCTTCCGAGTGCTCTTGCAAACATATAGCAACAAAACAACAGTCAAATAAAGACACAATGATGCTATACTGTGGTTGTTCAAAGGGCCAGCTACAGCTTGTCTGTATTCCAAAGTTTCCACCAAAGCAGGTTAGCTTGCGAGGCTTTTTCTTTCCACCCTTCTGCTCAGGATCTGGCTTAGTGCTGGGCTTCTTTGTGACTTTTGGCTTGCTCTTTGCTTTGCTCTTGGGATTGCTCTTTGCTTTGCCCTTTGTTTTTCCTTTGCCCTTTCCTTTTTCTGTTGTTTTCTTTATTGGGCTCCCTTTTCTGCACCTACACCTTCTTTTTCTTCTTCCTTTGTACTTGCTTCTCTACTCTCTGTGTCATCCTTGTCATTGGCCTTCCTCTTGGGAGCCATGGCTGGTGAAACTAGTTGAATTTGCTAAGCCCAAAAGTAAGGTTGATATTTTTATGGAAAAGGCTGATTTCATCTTGAAGTGATTTTGTGTGAACCTTTGTCTGCCTCTGTAATTCTTATCCATCAAGTGATATGATGTGTTGCTCTTGTTGGTGTTCACCATCAGCTTTTCTTTTAGAAGAACAGGTGATTCCGGCGCCTTCTCAATACATACATGGTTCCTGATGGAGAAGTCCGTGTCCTGGTTTGTCCGTGCCCTGGTTCCTTCTCAACTCACATATATTTCCGTGAGTTCAATCATCCCAACTACAGGTTGAAAATAAACATATCCCAAAACACCACCACAGCCCGGGCCCTTTCACCCCGCAGCCCCACACCAAGGTTGCCGCTGAAAGGGAAGCGTCGACTTGGCTTTTGGAGGCCTCGGTGGTGTGGTCGCATGTGGTAATGTGGTCGCTCAGGGCCATGTGTGCTTGATGAAGTACCATGTCGCATCTGGTCGTTCACTACCTGTCGACCCTCCAGTGGGTTCTCTCGAAAACAGGAAGAAAGTCAGAGCTTCCCGAACTTGCTAAGTTACTTGACCAGTGCAATATGTCGAATGGTATTCTATATACCTGGACCCTGAAAACAAAATCTAGAGAACATGGGATATATGACTTGTTTAAACAAAATAGGCACTTGCAGCCCCGAACCCGAGGTACGACTCTTCCGGTCGACTCCGTCCTCGAATCTCCCAGCGTCGTTTGAACCAGTGGGCGACTGGGCAGAAAACGACTGCGCCGGGCGCGTGCGACCGGAATCCGGCCCAACCAACCACGAGTCTCCCTACGAGTCCGTATTGAGACCGGATTAGAGGTGGAGGGTGGCGGATCCATCGCTCAGTGTCTGACCTGGTTTAACGAATCGGTCAGCGCCTCTATGAGGGCTACCTTTGAACATGATTGAACAAACCCTTTTCCGGGTGGCATCTGGATGAACATCTTTCAGCCGTCAGACGCGTCCATTGAAGGACTGTACTGTGGCAAAACTGCACAAAATGCTTCACACGGCCACGAATGAACTATTTAGTGGAGCATTCCTGTAATGTTTTATAATGTTTAAAATATCTGCCCACTTGTGCTTGGACGATTCGTGCTTTATCTCAGCAGTTACCTGCACTGCACCACAAGTGACATGAACAAACTCATTGGGACAATGACTAGTTATAAATGACTACATCTTCCTGGTCGTGGCGACTTGCACTACCCCCCACACCACTGAAGTTTCTGGGAGCACGACGACACAGTGCCCTCTTCTACTTCAGCCGTCAGCCTTAGCAGTGCGCAGGAGAGATGAAGAAACACAGGGTCCCTACTATTAGCGCTATTAGGGGGGTGCGCTCTTCAAAGTGTAATTTGATTTAATGTGTCGTTGTTCATGTAGTATGTTACCCTTGTGGACTAGGATGTCTGCTCAGTGCCAGGGTGGGGGCTCTGCAACTTGAGCAACAAAAACCCTAGCACAATTCCATTGTTGTATTGTTGTGTCCTTTCACATGTGCCACGTGCGGGATCACGGCACCCACCACCCAACCAACAACAACGGACAGTTCGACCGTCAAAGCCGTCAGAGCCGTCGATGAGCCGCAGTTGGATCAACATGCAGTTGGTTCGAGTCCAGCCTCTATGACTCCATGGGCTTTCTGTCAACCTGATTTCACCAAAACATATGTTCAAGCTGTTCAGATTCATGTCAGATGTATTCCAAACATCGTTTCAGAATGTTTCAGAATGTGTTCACCCCAAAAACACTCCATAAACCAAAAAGAACTGCAATCTCTCTGCCTCAGGCCTCCCCCCAGGGAAAAAGGACCAACAACAACTATCTGCCCCATCTGTGGCAATTTCTTGGGAGTCCCAGACGAACAGGTCTGGTCTCAAAATTCTGCCCGAGCCACCCCTGTTCGGAACCCGGATCGGCTTCCGGAGTGCCATTCTCGGAACTGCCAAGGTGCCGGTAGTGGCCGGAGGGTGTGACCACCTCGTGCACCTCATGGCACGGCGGCGGACCCATCGTGTGTTGGAAAGGTGGGCCCAAAGAGGATGAAAGCAAAGACCCCAAGCAGCCTCGGATATGGCAATGCTGTAATAGGGCCTAGGGTAGTTATTAAGTTCTTGGGTTTTAGCATATGTGACCAAAAAACACTATACGAACCTGTTGCCGGGCCGGGACGGCGCAAAACTGTGGAATCAGTGGCATGTGCCATGATGTGTTGTTTCCCAATCAAAGAAGCCAGTGATCATGAGTGGGGATGGTCCTTATGCACCACATTCCTTCAAAGAGTAGGGAGCTGAGCTATCTCCACTCAATACAGGGTCCTCATCTATTTTGGCCACTCCGCCGTGGGGGGGCCTCAATCACGAAATCGTGCCAAGGCTCAGCTGATGAACTATTGTGACCAAAACGTGTGTTTACTACACCGTGGGTGTAGAAACTACACCCACTAGACCTACTGCTTCTTTCAAAAGGAATCTCTCCAAAGCAAAATGATGCTTTTACTTGAACCACTTTTTAATTGTGAAAGTGCCTAAAGGGCCAAAAGGCACTCCGGCACTAGTTCAAAGCACCTCAACTCCGCCATGCTGTGCCCCATCAAGAAAAACCATGTGTCACCCACTGCCACCTGCTGAGAAAGTCGTGCCTCCGCTCTGCTCCCAGTTTGCAAAGAATGACAGAATGGACCGGTCCCTTGGTCTGGATCCGTCGTCATAGTCCACCATGACTTCCACCATCTCATCCTTTCAACTGGCAGAAGTCATGAACATGTGGTGTATTACACCCTCCACACATCACAAGGCACTTTGGGGTTCGAAGGTTTCACCCTTAAGGCATCTTAAGGCATATTAAGCCCATTTCCCGAAGCTTGAACCCTGTGTCGTGTGTTCGCACCTGTTGAACTCCGCATCGGACCAAAGCTCCCAAGCGGTGCCCGGCGCGAACACGAACGGTACTTCTCCCAACCCCCCATCTAAGAGGTGGTGGCTTCACAAAAGGTTAAACCTCCCAAAAGGTGTCCCCACCCCCGGGGCGAAGCTCGTTGTATCCCCAAACACCAGCTTCGCTTCGCCCGACGAAGCCCTCCGAAGCCCTCCGAGGCGAAAAACCTCCGAAGCCCTCCGAGGCGCCAGGTGTTGACCGCACTGCGGGCAGAACCGACCGAAGTCGCTGCGCTCGCAGCTGCGGCACCAGGCCTCTGCGGCACGTTCGGCCACGTTCCGAGCGCATGCGGGGCTAGCAGGAAAGGGAATTAAGGTCCAATGGCTAAGTGTGTCCGGTTAAAAGCAAAACAAAGGTACCAAGAGTCTCAAAGTACCTTGGAAAAGGAGACATGACCTGAACCAAACGGTGCTTGAACCGGTGCATTCCAGAACCGAAGATCAGTTAAGGGGAACAAGCACACCATTGGAACTGGAAACGCCTCCTTCAGAGTTGTTGGTCGCATGTGAACCGTCGGGGTTGCTGTGTGCATGTGTGTTCCTATCGCACAGGAGTCTGTCATTTGGGTAGCAGGTAGGAGGCTTTGGGTGCACATTCCCTCCCATGGAATTCAGAACTGGATGGAATGGTTGTATGTATTTGTTTTATGGAAATAAATCTGAGCGACCCCAGTGCCAAAGTTTGGAAGGCCTGGACCACCCCACACTCAGCAGGGTCGTTCGGTTGAAAACGGCGTGCGTTCCAGGTTCCAAGCTAAGCGATGCTGAACACGGTGAGCACGTCCAAACATGCAAGGAACAAGAACGGCGTCACAAACACTATTACCAATAATAAAGGTTAAGTGACCCTACAGGACCCTACTACCTTACCTATGGGATAGTCTATATAGGGTCCTTCAACCTCTGTTGGTATATATCACTCCCTGAAATCATCATGGAAGTGACATGCCGTGTCACCCGCGCACAACTTGTTCAAGTCCTTTAAACTTATGATTCCTTGTTGTGCTTGTGTGCTTGTGTACCATACAGCTTTCCTAACTAAGGTATATAACTAAGACCTCATGCTTCACGTGTGGTTTGATCCTCCTTATGTAAACAGTGATGCTGCTCTTGTGTCTGAGTCTTGTATCATGCGTGTCACCACAACAAAGACAAACATGGCATGGTTGGAACAGACTCGTTGCAACCCACACTTTTTGCAAACAAGGGAGTCACGTAAACGTTCTTGGCGTGCATTAAACTAGGAAGACCTCCCAGTTCGACCTGCTGGAAGAAAGGAAGTATAGACCTATCACATTCTGAGGTAGGGGCGCTCCCTGCTTGAATATACAAATAATACACAACCGTATGGAGACTGATTGACACGATGGCCTTCGCCACAGCCCATACCGCCGAAAAGAACTATGGCCAGATATGGTTTCCACGAGGCTCGACATGGCTAAAAACCACTCCGACCGCTATTCCACCGACAGACGTGGACAGATCGATGCTCCAGCCATGAAAGAAATCGCACACAATTTTCCATCACCAGAACTGCTCTTTGGACAACATCTCTTTTGGATCGATTCTGTAAGACTTGTCTCTAAAAACACAACATGAATCAACATGAATTGAAATACGGTCGACCTAGACTGTACCGAAGTCAAATATCTTCATGCAACTCGTCTGACAAGCACTATATATATAACACCCTGGACCCGACAACACGTCCATGTCGACCAAAATAGATCTGGACCCGACTTCAATGACTCTAGAAAATGGGGCATGACATGACCCTATCAAAGCAGGTACCACTGAGGCCCCATTATCTATAAGGTACTCACGAAGTCGGTCAACTCCGAAAAAATCACGGGGCGCCTTCCCTGCCAGCTCCTGACCTGCAAAAGGCACGTCGAGACGCTCCATCACAGAGATCAATCAGGTTGGTGCGAAGCGGAAGGCTGGATGAACTTATGGATGGGCAGCCCTCGACCCTCAACCCCCCCTTGACCTAAGGGGTTGTTAAGTATTTGAGAGCAAACAAAGAAGTGCACATATTGTCTTCTTGTTGTTATGAAGTCTGCAGGATGAGGTACTATGGACTATTCTTGATTATTTGATATTTGATTTGGATTCTGAAGTTGTTTTGCGAGACTGGGCCCGTTACGTCAAACATTAAATAGCTGGAGCTGGGTATCACTTGACTCTTGCCGTCTTAGCGTGGGCACCATCAACAACTGCCGCATATCCTCCAACAAAACAAACACAAATCAATGAAATAGCTCTTAGGAATGCTGCTTTAAATATGACATTTGACATTTGCACTTCAATTACTTACAACATTTGTTGACATCATTACTTGTCAAAGACCTTTTGTGGCAAGACTCCCAAGCATTCAGTCTGAACTGGGTCACTGGATCTTGCGAATCTCCCTACGATGCCAAACAAGCAGGGAGCTTCCACGAAACAATCAGGGTCATTGTTGGCTGTTGCCTGTTGGCTGGTACTTGCACGGCTATGTCCTACGTCATGTGTGGATGTCCCTCTCCATGCCATGGAACTGTGGAACGTGCCCAGGAAACCAAGCTGGTGTCTGTACATCCAACGTGCCAACATCTGCCACATCCTTCCTAGACCTCAATGTAGGTTAATATTCCAGTCCCATGGATGGTCTGGGTTCATATACATCAAGCTACATTGATCCATCCATGATCATCCATGTATATATGGAACATGAACCGAACACCCAAACCGGACACATCCGAACCACCCAAAGACTTTGTCCGAGCAGTCGAGATGTTCGACCAGCTTAATCGAGAGCTGGGTACTCGCTCGCCTGTACTCACTCGCTCAGGCTTTCGCACCTGGAAGGAACAAAGGACAGGAGAGAGTGGTCAGTTAGTCAGTTAGGCTAAATGGACTTGATCTATGAAAGGTTCAGGCTATCAGCGCTAAGATCTTGAGAACAAAGGTCAGTTTCAGCTGCTATGACCTCCATATACGTGCCAGATTCTTTAAACCGGGTTGGTCTCTAAACCCCATCAACCTGCGATAAGATTTTGTGGGTGGGCTGAATCACAAAGGTTTCATTCATCAAGTTTTATCCAAACCACAAAAGAAGGTACGGATGTTCAAGGCCATTGGACATGCTTGGTGTATGTTGGTGTCTGACGCTTCCTTCCGTCCTTCCTTCCGTCCGGAACGTCGGAACGGAACGTTGCTGGTTTATTGCGACCCTTCGTTTTGAACATGTACCTGGAGTCTCGGTATGTGCCTCAGAAAATCAGTACAAAGTGCTTGTTTTTTGGTTCAGGTCATGTCCCATGTTCTGGCGTAATTACTTTGGAGGGTCTAGGTAGACATCATTTGGCCGCATCTTCAACGCTATGTGAGAGAATATGAAACAGCGGTGGCCTTGATTCTTCTTTTGTAACCTTGATGAGTCTTTGCCGTCCTCAACGGCAAAGGCGCAGCTTTAAACGTAAAAAAACTGTTCACCACACGAAGTGCCAAGCGCCACGCGACACCCGAGAAGGTGACACGGTCACCTGGATTTGGGATCAAAACGTGGTGAACATCGGCCTCTGTTCCGGTGCAACGTCATCTATTTTTTGGGTGTGCAACTTCAACACGTCTGAAACATTGGTAACTATTAGAGCTGCCATGGATGCCAGGTTTGCAAACGCCGTTGATGTAGTTGGGATCTTGAAGAATGACAAAATGTAATCAAGAGTTGGGAAGTTCCGCAACACAACATGGCAACTCACACAGTCCCAAAAAAAACAATCAAACATTGAACACGTACTTTGTAGTGACTTGGTTTTGCGTTTCGAACAATGGTCTGCTTGCAGCTATGCACCGGGACCAATTCAAAACATGACAAATCAACCTGCAGGTTCAACGGGTTGACTCCTGGAAACATATCAGCAAGGCCCTTCTGACTCTGCTGAGGGTGCTACCGCTGATGCCACACCTGTCTGTGCGTGAAGGGTGGGGAAAAGATATAGCTGCCCATTGGGACGGTTGGTTGACAAACACGGCGTACATGGAACCACCAGTTGGCTGGACTTTTGTTTTACACATGACGATTTAACGGGTACTTGTTTCATGCTGTTTCCCTGGGCAATCTGTGGCCTATTCGGGAAGCTGAACACATCAAAAAACATGCCTAGACCTATGCACACCCTAGCATAGAAAAGGTACAAGCGCATTTCGCGGTTCCATCACATGGTGCGCCAGCCGGGCACCCTCTTCAGTTATATAGTTTGTTAGGGTTTTGGTACTTTTTTTGCGTGCCTGCGTGGCTTGTCGGGGAAAAAATGCCAGCGGCCACCTTACTGGAGCAGGATTGGGTTTTCCAAGAATGGCCTGGGCCAAGGCATTGTGTCATTTTTTCCTGATCGATTGCACCCAACAACCCTGTAGTGCACCATGTAACTGGTTGCCACCGGTGCCGTAACTGGTTGCCACCGGTGCCGCCGGCCCCGGGCTTACGCATCATTGGATGGTGCAGGAGTCCCGCAAGCGTGTCCCTAGCGGTCAAAGATCTCATTTTACTGAGCTTGCGTTTGATTATGCACAGTCACTGCTCAATGCTGCTTAATACCAGGAGAACAAAGTAGCAATGTTGAACACACAGAGCTACAGTGTGACAAGGCCGCTTGAAGGTATTGAACGGCAAAGGTTGAGTTAATGTGACATGGAGTTAAAGTTAAAGTAGTGCTTGAGTCACCACAAATGAGCTGAGCAGATATAAGGGCAAAAGTATGTATATAACATGTGTGTGTAGCTGGCGCCTGCACACGATGTCGAGGGGGGGGGCGCGCTATACAAGCGAAGCGTGCAAGCCGGAAATCTTTCGGCAGCCCCGCAGCAGCCATGTCACAGTCATCTCAAATCACAGTTTTTGCGGCAACGCGCTGAATTGGGCGGAGGTTATCGTCCGCATGGATCTGCATGGTCCGGACGGGGTCAGAGCAGTTGGGGTCTAAAGAAGCACTTGCAGCTGTGCAAGCGAACATGACACTCACATAGGAATATGGATAAATGCTGCGTATAATATAGATAGAGTCGGCTCCTACAAGCCTGAAACGGACAGAAAAAATCACATGCACAAAACAATACCGCATCTTTTGTTAATTTCTTTTGAATAATACAAGGGGACGATACTGGATTCGCATGCTGGTTGAGTTTGGAGGCGAGTCCCACTACCATGACTGGTGGCAAAGCACGCACCCACAATGGTCTGGAAAGCTTTCGTGAGCCAGGTTTAATGAAAGTACTTTGCAAGAGCCTGGCCAATCATGCCAAAGCACGCCCACTAACATTTAAGTATTTTCCTTGAGGCCGGTGTTTTTTTAAGTGCAGGGATGCCAAAGCCCCGTCGAGCAAGCGGTTGGACCTCAAGCCCTCTCACCAGAAGCCTGAACGCAGCACAGTACAGAACACATCTTAGACTGTGTGACCCTCTTGGAGGCACTCCGCTTTCGACACTTTGGGGCACTCTTGCTGATGCTGAAGCCGAGCCCTGCAGAATGTTACACCATTGCCCTGCAGGTGAGGAGGCAAACATCTTGCTCCAGGAGCAGCAAGCGGCAGCAAGCGCTTCCTTTGTAGGGTCAGTCCGACGTGTTCTTCAAATCCTATCCTAAAGGTGACTGCAGCACCCTCACACACCGCTTGGCGTTCAATCTGGAAGGACCACAATATATATATATATATACAATATGCTTCGATCAAACGCTGCATTGGTTGGAAGTGGGCCTCTAAGGAGCAACAGCAAACATCTGCTCCAGCTGAGCCAGCTTTTGTCTTCGCGTTCATCCCCACGGATCGGAACCGCGGCATGGAGGGGCGGTTCGGCAGGATGTTGGAAGAACGGCTTTGTTCGTTTTGAATCATATACCAGGACCCTCCGACCATCGGGGTGCCCTGTCTGGAAGCCGAGCGGCCCGGCCGGTAGTGTGGGGTAGTGAAGCGCCAGGACACCCCGATGGTCGGAGGGTCCTGGTAGTCTATGATTCTGACCCTGGAGATGCAACCAAAGCATCTTTGTTCGATTACAGCAACCAAATCCAAAGCTATTTAATCCTAGAGTCCAGTGTCCACTGAATGTACCCTGAATGTACCCAATGGTGATCAATTAATATATATATATATATATAATCAATTGTCCGATATTTTAGTGATTGGTTTCAAGATGTATCACATAGAAGAACAGCAAGGTCGAACCCTGCAAAGGAATCCACGTGCGGACCTCCGTGGTTCATCTTTTAACTGGTACTGGCTGGGGGGGTTTGATCTGGCGGTGTCATTCTTTTTGTTGGACAGAAAACGACATCGTGCCACACGTTTTGACTTGTGCTGCGGCTCCTTCAGCTCAAAACTTTGTTTGATGGGGCAACACCATCGCTGAGTAGACCAAAAAAAAATGGGTTCCCAAAGGCTGAAAACTGGGCGTCCAAATCATAGCATCATCCTTTTGGCACCACCCTCACTATAGTCATGATTTCTCACTAAGTGACCAACAAAGGTCTCAATAACAGGCCTTCTATAAGGATAAACAACATACATCTCCTCCAAAATCTGTGCTGAAACTCCGTCTAGAAGGCCTGAGCTGGGACCTGGCATCGTGAAAAACGGCCGACCACGGAAAAAAACAAAAAGGACACCAACAACGACCCGCTCGGCTCGTCCCGAGCCGCCTGCTTCCTTCCGTGCTTCCGGCGCTTCCTCCGCCTCCACGCGACGAGTCGGACGGACAGCGATTCGACCTGCCTCCAAGCGGTGGATGCTTCGTGTTCGGTGCTTCGTGTGTATTGTGTGAGCGTTCCATTTGTTTAATGGGTGGCCTTTTTCCAGTGTCAAAACAAGAACGACATGAATAGATTCGAGATAGACTTCTTATAGCAAGCAGGTGAGCCTGTGAATGACATTGTCAAAACAAGAACGACATGAATTAGATTCGATATAGACTTCTTATAGCAAGCAGGTTAGCCTGTGAATGACATTTGGGAGGTTCTTTTTCTTTGAAACATTTTGAAGCAAAACAAGAACGACATGGAGCGGGTTATGTGTTGTCTTTTGGAGCGCCTGGAGGTGTATGGCCTTTGTTTCATCCCTTTTTTCACAATCAGAAGGGCTTTAGCAACGTTCAACTGACTCTACTCAGGCATGCAGCATGCCACCAATGAGCTAATTGACACTTGGCCCGGGCATTTAAACACATGCAAAAACATCAGTTCATTGAAGCCCAGATCTGAAGAGGAAAAGAAATAAATATGAAAAAAGTACTGGGAACATAGTGGGAACTACTGGGAAACATGGAATCCCTGCTTCTGTTGGTGTAATACCAATGGATAAGACCCGCAAGTGGATGCTCCGCAAGGGAAGGTACCATGTACAACAGCTTTTCAATGAACACCATTCTTCAGGCCGGCCCACTCCTTTGCGGAGACCTGGCATGGAATGTAAGAGCAGGATTCGATCTGGTCAAGCAAACCACTTGGACTCACTAACATGGAAGTGATCGTAAAATACTGTCACAAGTAAAACTAGGCTTCCATGCAGTGACTGTCACCATTCCATGTGAACATGTTCTTCAAAGAACAAAATATGTCATACACGGCCGCAAGGCTAAGAAAGTCGTATTTTTCTACGTGCAGAATGGCGTCAGGAATTCAGGACTGGTTGTTTGAAGTTCCAGCAAAGTTGGAAAATAAGAACTTAACTGGAAGGACATGGGGTGAAACAATCTGTTGCATTGAAAAATGTGAAGCCTTGTGAACCAACCCGATGACAATCTCTTGACTAAGCACGAAGCTTGCTACATCTGTCAGTTCTGAGAGATTCTTCTCAACACCATCTCCTCGGTCCTATATTATGAACAAAAAACACTCTCAAGGAATTCAATCAAAGGGGAATCGTCAGCTGGAGGATGAGCTGGATCGCGGTGAGGGAGCTAGCGCTCGCCTCGCGCGGACGGCCCAGGGCCCATCGGACTCCCGCGGCTAAGGAGGCACGCATGGTCGACACCGGCCTGGAAGTCGATGGTCTGGAAGAGAAGGAATTGGGAGGGAATCAACTACTTGAAGGTGTGAGAAATCCCCCAAATTCACCAGATTCTGGGAAGATGTATAAGGGGAAAAAAGCTGAACATGTAGATCCAGCCAGTATAATTGGTAAGTATAGCCTAGTATAGCTTGGAAGATCTGTTGGGTCTATTATTAAGAGATAGAAGACTGGGATGAAGCGTCGGTGCAAGCCGAGCAGCAAGTGCCTGCGCCGAGCCCAAGCGCCTCCACCCGGGGATTCTGGAGGGCCAAACAGCTGCAGGTCGATGGTTCTTTTCACCACAAAAGCTGGAAGGATTCGGCAAATAGTTACTAACCGCTGGGTTTTTGGGGGATGGTCCAGTGATCATTCACTAACTTATATAATATAACAATTAACTACCAGAATCCGCTTGGGAAAGCAGTTGAAACATGTTCCAAATGAGTGGAAACATGTGGAAACCATGAGATAAAACTATTAGAGACAAGGAACCTGGAAAAAGAAAACTCAATGTGGAGCATGGTTGAAAGAGTCATCTCCCAAGCCAAACCAGCGGACCGTTGTGGAGCTGGTGCCAAAGCCCAGGCCGAGGCGGCTCCGCATCGGTCACAGGAGCGTCTTGGACCACCAAAACGTTTCTTGTTGGTCACCGATGGTCACCACCAAAACGTGAAGGAACTTAGTTGGTGAACGTGAAAAAAACGCAGAACTCATTGAAACTCAATCATTTGATCAGCTTCTGTAGCTGCAAAATGTCACTTCCAAGGGGTGTGGAGATTCCACTCGGAGTGGGGTGCAATGTGTCATGCAGCAACGTTGCACCTCTATGCCGAGTTGATAGTCCATTCCGTTTCCGTACCTTCTGTCTTATCCAACCTGCAAAGGCGTCTAATACATCGCAACAAGCAAGAACACTCACCAGCCACCATCTCCTGACACCCAAGTAAAACAACCATCAACCAAAGCCCATTGCAACCCTCCCCCTCCAGCTGTTCCTTCACTTCCTGTCACGCAACGGGCTTCGCACTTCGCCACCCTTCTTTCTCCACTGAACTTTCCGCGCCATCTCCGCCTTCCCCGCCTTTCGGCGCGTGCGGCTCGCTGCACCTGTGCCATCGCCGCGAACCGAAGGGCTGAAGGGGGAGGCTGTTGAGGCCCGGAGGAGAGGAGGAGAGGAGAAGGGCTCTGATTAAATCTAACAACCCTCACCTGGCAGGTGGGGCACCCGAAGCACTTTCCATGGGATTCGTTCCAGGGATGTGTGATGTGTCAGCTTCCGTGTGCCGGACAATTCGGAACACCTGACGAATGGATTCCAGCTATGGATTCAAACAGCGTCCACCAGCCTGTGCTTGACGCTGTCGGACGTCGGGACGTGTTTGTTTAGGTTACCTTCACCTCTCTGGAGGGCTGAGCGAGTTACCCAACCTCCAGTGCCAGTTGGCATGCATTTGGTCGAGAGTTGGGGTGGTTATCGAAAAAAACGAAGCCGTGAATAGACTTGTTTGATCTTGTTTATAAAATTTAACTGTACACTGAGTCAAGAAAAAGCAACCGCCAAAATTGCAAGAAAGGACATGGGAGAACAAAGTACAGAAAACACGCCGAGAATGGCCTTGCGTAACTTGGACCTTGCGGAACTTGGAGCTCTCTTGGCGCAAGGTCATGAACACCTCAGTGGCCACAGCTTTGCTTGTCCATCAACTGGTTGGGGCACACTATCTCATACTATGTCCAACAGGTATGTCGAACAGGTATGTCGAAAAAACAGTCACAAAAAACATCTATACAATCCAATCACTATCCATCAAGAATGGTTGGATAATGATCCAACACAGCCTGGTCGTCAGGAATGGCGAATCCCATGAGAACCCGATCTGTGAGCTGTGTCTAGCAGGACTATCTCAAGCAGTCCAAGCAACTGGGATCAATAAGAACCTGATGAGATATTCTTTTGATCTTGGCCAAGTAACCATGCTTTTCTGCCACATGGTACAAGTAGCATCACCACGGGCCACAGGACGTCTAAGTAATTGCCACAAGTTTCCCGAACCAGGAACATCCGCGACCCTTCCGACACCACCAGTGGCAATCCAGGCACTGGCACGAAGCCGACCTGGCAAAACCGCTGAGGCACGCTGGGCGTGTTCCGTGGGCTGATCAGGAGAGGTACAAATGCCTCCGGATTAGCCCAAAACAACCACATCAGGAACATGTAGGAAACTCTTCAGAACCATTCAGCAACCCTTCTCTAAACATGATCGGACTTATGCGTGTCCCGAAGTACGGGCGAGAAGGAAAGGAAGTCGCCTTACAAACACCTTGGAATTATACCATCGTCTACCCACTTGCTGGAGTTTTTGTGGTGGTCAATGATGTTACTACTTCGAGGGTTGGGACGGGTTGGGAGTTCCACCTGTCACAACACACTGGTCATGTCGAGTGTCGACAGTGTCGAAGTTCGCGCAAAACACACGTTCTGGTGAGTTCGCATGTTTGGGTTGGTGAGTCCAAGCCACGAATCGTGCTTGTTGTGTTTTGTATATGTTTCAAGGGCACAGTATGGCACACTAATATGTTCTTCCAACAAAACGTATAAAGACCAGGGGGTATAGGGCCCATGCAAACGCATTCTACGGACCCAAAAAAAAACGGACCCCACATGACGGACCAGACTGGGCGAAGAGTACGGATAGAAACATCCTGCACTGTACTCTTGTACTCTGCGTACTGGTCTTACTCTTCCTCTAGGAAAAAGAGATACTCACAAGACTCACGCGGAAACTTTGATGATCTTGTATATGTATTCAATAGTTTGTGCTTCCACTCAGGCAGAACAGGACGTTGCAGAAATACTCTTAGAGTTGGTTTGTTGAGCCTGCAGGCTCCCCAAAAAAGGGCCGCAAGAACCGGTGCAACTCAGGCGTTGCCCAGCTAGCGTTCCCTGCTTTCTACTCTCATCATTTGAAGGAAAAGAACTGACCAAACCTGCACTCTTCACGATCTTCACTTCCAAACCCTCCTGCATTGCCCAGCAACGACGCGCGCGTGCATCCCTCCGCCCCCCCTTCTGCCTTCGGCGCTGCGCGTTTCCGGTCGCTGCGGTCACCAAGCGGATGGCCTGGAGGGACAACACCGAACGGATGGCCAAGCGGATGTAGAGGAAACTCACCGGACCCTTGGGGCGACATGCAGCGAAACACTCCGAAACACAGAGAGGTATATTGGTGCCCTGCAAGGTGGCCCTGAAAAAAGATTGATGAAAACGCTTTGGACGCTTTGGACCTGTTCATTCTGATGATGTACCTGGCAGAGTTGAAGCCTTGAGATCCACATCCAAGACCGTCTCTTCCAGATCTGCATCTTTTTCGGTGCGCGCTCGCTCGCTGGAAAAAGGTGCGGAGTTTCACAGCGAATGCTTGAAGATACAGTTGCTGTGTGTCTTTAAGCAGCCTGCAGCTTGCCGAACTAGAATTCAATAGATTCGAACTAGGGGCTCTTTCAGGTACTGGCACTGATGCAGTGCCTGCTTCCTAGCCCGGGCCGACACTCCTGCGAGCTCATCGTTCTTGGAACGTCCAGACACCCAGACTGCAGAAGCAATGCACAAAAAAATATGCTCAACATTGGGTGCGCAGCACTCCTTCTACCATCATCTACCATGGTGATCCAAAACAAAATGGTTGAAACATGGTGAAACTGTAATGCCTACCTGCCTACCTGCACTATATGCCAAGAACGGCAAACACCATGTTCAAACAAGTTGACCCAAGTTCCTCAGAGATAGAACTTCCTGCAGCCTCCAATCAACGCAGCCCTTACTCTGCAAGCGCAACACCATTTGCGACAACTCCTGCCGGTACTTGTGTGCCTCTTTCAGGTCTCCAGCCTGCACGGTGACATCGCCAAGCATATGCAGTGTGACTGCAATGTCTGGGTGGTCACCGTCACCGTGCAAGGACCGCTGCATTCGTAAAGACTCTTTCAGGCAACGCAGGGCCTCTTTCCAGTCTCCAGTCTGAGCGGTCACATCGCCAAGCATGTGCAGAGTGAGTGCAATGTCTGGGTGGTCAATGTCACCATGCAGGGACTGCTTCATTCGCAAAGACTCTTTCAGGTAACGCAGGGCCTCTTTCAGGTCTCCATTCTGAGCGGTGACATTGCCAAGTTCCTGCAACGTGACTGCAATTCCTCGATGGTCTTCGTCTCCGTGCAAGGACTGCTTCATTCGCAAAGACTCTTTCAGGTACTGCAGGGCCTCCTTCGGGTCACCAGTCTGAGCGGTCACATTGCCAAGCGCATGCAAAGTGAATGCAATTCCTGGGTGGTCACCGTCACCATGGATGGACTGCTTCATGCGCAAAGACTCTTT